GTGGGCCAGGATTTTGAACGTATTATAATTGCCTGATACAACAACAACAGTAACAACAACTTGCATTTAACTTCACACGGGTTAGCGTCCCGGAGCACTTCACAGTGGCGGAGTCTGACAAGCTAGTTTTGATTTCCAATCGGATGCCCTAAAATGAAGAAATAACTCAGATTTATATACTAAGGAAGAAATAAGCTTTACTTTTTCGATAGTTTGGCGTGCATGATGATTCATATCTTTGTCAGGCTTAGTTGGTAGCATTGTCATTTCCAAGTCAGAAGGTTGTGGCTTCAGGCCCCCCATCAGAACTTTGAACTCATGGTCTAAGCTGACACTGTAGTACACTATTGGGGGTATGCTGCTTTGTTGGAGCTGAGACTTTAAACCCAGGTTACATCTACCTGTTCAAGTAGATGCTAAAGATCCTATGGCAATATTTGAAAAAAGGAAAGAGTTTCTCCCGGTGTCATGGCCTACAATCCCCAGATAAAATTGACCATTCACTACCTGGCTATTTTTGGACATTACCGTGTGCAAATTGGCTGCTGTCTTCACCTAAAAAATACACAGTCACTACACTTTGCAGTGTATCCTGTGAAGTGGTTTGAGACGTCTTGATGATGTGATGAGGGTCATTGTCAAATGTAAGAATTATTATACCTTCCTGTTCTTAAGTAAAATGAATTTTTGGCAAATTGGTCACTGCGATAACATTTCACAGTATTGTAATGTAGCCAATATAATAACTGCTTCAACTTGTGAAATTAACTTTTACAAATTTGGAACCTAATAGCCTATTCAGAGGGCAAGACATTCATTTGTACTGAAAGCTGATGGGAATGATTATCGCGACAGTGCCTTGGGATGTCCTCCTGACGTGAAAGGTGCTATACAAATGTAATCTTGTTGTTGTTGATGTTAAGGAGATTTCTAGCCATGCCTTGGATAGCATGCTGCTTCTTCCTTCAAAATGGACCTGGTGGATGGTGACACCACTGTTTTTCTGGGCCACATTCTCACCAGCCTTCCATTGCAAAACAGCAGGGTAAACCAGCTTGTGGCAGGGAGAGCGCCACTCATAGACTGGTTGCTCCTACTGTTGCTGGCAGAACAGTATAAATAGACTATTATAGCATACAAGTGTAAAGGTGCTATAAGAGCTGATGTAATAATCTCTGTCTGTGTCTAAACAGGGTATAAACCTGCATTGAAATTTTGAAGAAATGTATATTTTAGATTGGCAGGGGCTGCTGACAGATGGAATGTGCTATGCATGGTCTGAGATATGGAGAGGGGTGGGTGGGCACCTGTGAAGCAGGAGAACTTGGAGGCATAGTTTGGGGTGATTTGGCAAGCTTGCTGCCAGGTTACTCTTGCATGGACCCAAATCATGCCAGTGTGAAAACAGCTGTTGAGCTAAGTGGCATTGATTCATTGTGGATAAACCGCCTTGCAAATATACTGGGTATTAATGATGGGGATTTTAGGCAGGTTCAGTCTGATCTGATTTGCAAACTATAACCATAGATTTGCTCTCACCAATTGTTGAGGCTTTTGCTGTGCGACTGAGGGTCATTAACAGAGGATTAATGATGCAGACTAACAGGAGGTGCAAGGTCACTTCAGACCACTGAAGTGAACTGCAAATTGAAATAAAATGTTTATAAACAAGCAGTTTGTTTTCGACAGTCATTTAATGACATAGAAATTAATGAGCGAAGTCTTCCTTGAAGTAAACCAGTGCTTGAATTACTATTTTTTAGTTGAATTGGACCGTATCCAGTAACCGTATATTCATCCCATAGGTTGAGATATTCAAACGCAGCTCATATACCCAAGTCTATCAGTAGACCTGATATAATGCATTACAGCCATGCTAAGATTGGAGTAAACTAGGAATTTCTGAGTATTTGCTTATATGAAGAATTTGCCTGTATATTGTAGACAAACAGGATTGGCTTTCTTCCTCCCGTGTTTAATTTAGTTTATGTAGTTTACGTATATGCACACACACTTTCATATGCAGACACACACATATAGACAGACACTTGTTTATAGACAAGGACTCACACAGTTAAGATACCAAAGTGTATTGTAAAGCTGAATGTTGTAACCTTGCTGCTCGCTCTTCGTGGACGTGATCCTCCAACTATAGAAACATTCCTTTAGAAATATACAACTGGGATCATTTAAAAAATGGAAAATTAATTTAAGCAGTGGCATCTTGGTCTTAAATGAATTGAGCGTCTTTTCTTTGATCATTGATCTGACGAATGATGGTTTTGACGCGTGGTAAAATGTGTAAACCTCCCATTACCTTAACATTATCCTCGATTAAATGATTTTTTTTTATCTTATGCAAAAAGCTCATTGCTATTTTATTTCCTGTTAAATATATCAGGAGCACGTGTGGGCAGAAATATATATATATATATATATACATATCATAAATCATCAATATTCTCGTGTGCCAATGAATTTTAAACCTTTAATCGGTAGATTTTCAAATATCGTTTAAGACTGCCTTTTTTTTCACAAATGAGAAGGTGTCGTGTCAGAGTCTATTACCTCGGCTGGACATCTTTCTCGGAGTTAAAAAAAAAAATAGAACCATCAGCAAAGGTTTGAGAGGTCGATAAAGCTTTTAGATTTCGAGATGTTTTCAAGGAGCCCATTTCCTGCGGCTAAGAGTTGTTAATGGAGCTTAAGGAATTATCTTATGACTGTGGGTTTGGAGAGCAGTTATTTCCTCGCTTGTGTTCCCTTGTCGAGGCTGAATATGCCGCTGTCAAACTCGGTTAATGAAAAGTAACGCGTCGGTGATTACAATTTTATTTGGGCTCTATGTAAAAAGCGCTGTTAATTTAGCATCCCCTCCTCTGTGTGTTTGAATTTGCCACGGCTGAATGATTTAGAGTACCAGCGAAAACTGATCCTGCTCTCTCTCTCTCTCTCTCTTTTTTTCTTCTCTCTCTCTCTCTCCACCCTCAGCACAATCTTACCTTTCCCTTCCAATTTCAGCACAATTGCATCCTCCCCACCTCCACCGGCTTTAATGGCTGCATTTACCCAGACTTTTGTCAGTCGCATTATTTTTGAAAATTATTTATTTGTGTAAGGTTTCAGTTTAGAGGCTCCGGCTGGCCCAGGCTACATTAAAATTCATCATACTCCAGCCTCTAGCTGTACACTTCCCCCTGGAGAATAGACTTTCGCTATTACTGTCAAGTACCTTTGACTCTTTTTTTGCCCTTTTATCTATTACAACTAATTCAAGTTCTTTTGCCCTTTTCAGCGAAGACGTGGCTCACTGTAAAGCCGAGGCTGCCTTGGAGATCATAGGGTGCAGAGCCTCTGGAAATTGAGGGGTTAGTGTCAAAATGAAAATTTCACTTCAAATTATCTTGGCTGTTGCACATTTTGGCGACCAGAGCTCTTGTCAGAGTCTTTGACAAGTGGGTCCAGCAAATAGCAGCGTTTGTGATCTCGACAATATCATCAGAGAGCAGGGAAGTTTAATACAGTGACAGCAAATGTGACTGCATAAATTCCTATTGTGGTAGATCTCACTCATGATAAATGTATAAGCTATTGTATTCAGCCACCATAACTATGAGCTGATAAATTGGATTTTCTTCCTTAGTGCATAATTTGTACCCAAAATTATATGATAGATAGATCGTGTTTACCAATAGGACTGGACATATTGTGTTTCGCATAGCCTGTCTGCTGTGTTTTAATGAACAATTAAAAATACAGTTGTCAAATTCGATCTCTTTTTCTCGTTAAGGCCGGTGTGACTAAAGTTCAGGCCCTATTTATACCAAATGCACCATACACGCAATCGGAAAATGTGCTCTTCTTGAGTGTTAAAAGGTTGTTTCCCAAATCGTGATTTGAAAACGATCCATTTAGCAGCTTAATACAGTACACTTCGCAGCCGTCATTAAAATTGCAAGATGCTTATAAAATTTTTACAGACACCATCCGATTTAACTGAGAATTAGAGAGATGTGCAGATGTGATTTAGGATAGTTCCTACACATGTGGACCCATATGCACCGTGAGCTACGAAGCTGGTAGCAGAAACCTACAATGTTTAATTTTTGTTCATCTTACTAGGATGAAATAAATGAAAATAAAAGAGTTAGAGCAGATGGGGATTGGACGCCTGTTTATCCAATGATCGTTATATTCTGAAGTCTGTTGGTGGGTAATGTGGATTTGGTGCACAATTTAGCTCTCGGAGTTTATCACAACATTCTCAGAAGAGTGTTTCAGACTGTAGGAAACGATGAGTATTATTCTTGGCGAACTTCAGCTTTTTATATAATGCCATTAACTGAATAATTCAAGCCTGCAGTTTTTTGTTTTGTGGGAGCAAAGTAGTCATTCAGAGCGTATTGAGTTGTGTGCAATGAATTTATGCATCGTTTAATGTTTTGACCACCAAAAACATCCTTGTGAATATTTCTTTGTTTTTAAACTATTGAGTGAGTGTCACACCGCCTTGGCTGCTCTCATTTTATTTTAACATATTAGACAAAAAGCGGCCTTTTACTGTATTAAATGCCTTGCGAAGTTAAACATAAATTTAGCACACACATCCCAGTTATAAAAAATGAATAGGCACCATGCCACAGTAACCATTTAAAATACGTTTTCTCGCAACTGTGCCAACTGGACTGAAAAGCATTGGTGACAATTAATTTTATAACAATTACCCACTTAAGCCTTTATCCTGATTCATTGCAATTTTGCCAAGAAAAATAAAGAAAGAGTTAATATTTTAGGCATAAACATAATCAGGTCATTGATTTATCCAGCAATAACATTGCAGCACCGAGTTCAACTGCAATACGCAATAACACTCAAAATGTCGCTGGCTGAAGGGAAGGCGATTGTACGCGTGCATTATTTTTTCACTGAAAAAAAGGGAATTTGTGCTATGCGAGTGCGCGATGGTGTTCTTTAATATATTTTACGAGTTGCAAGTTATCTGCACAGTATCTGGAAGAAATAAAGCGAACAAAATGGGTTGTGCAAAGGTTCATGTATAATATATTTTCAAGATGTAAAACTGAAATTATATCGCTTTAACCTAATTTTAAATCAGTTCCAACTACCGATAAATACGACACTCGTTAATTACCTCTAAAACAGCACGTTTATTTCAGTGCACATATGTTTAACATATACTCTCGTATCTTTTAAAGCCAAAGACTTGTGCAATGGTGTAAACTTTTTTTTTAAACAAGTGTTGCTTGTGACTCGTTGCAGAGCTGGATGGTAAGACACACATTTAAAAAATGGAGTTTGGGAGAGAATTACATTTGCATGCTTTTAAGCAGATTTCGAATTCCAAATCTAAGATACCCATTTCTGTAAACTTTGAGATGTAAACTTTACTGCTTTGTTCTACAGTATAAGTTCAGACGTGCGTTCCAACATGGATTTGAATAAATTACACAACACTATTCAGTTAAAGAGCTCTTGAGATCATTTCAGTTGTCTTGTGAAAGCTTAAAACAGTGACGAAATGTATAAAGTCTAATAAAAGACAGGCTGAGCTTGTGAATAGAATGCCTCAAGTTAAAATTCAGATCCTTGCGCCTCTTCATTGTGCATCAAAAGGCTCCAGAAAGAAAAAGTTTGCAGCATTTGTCTTGTTACGAACAAAACATTTTGTTTCCTGTTTTAGGAAATGCTGAGAGGTCCTTGTTGGTTTCTTGCTGGGGTAAACCCGGGATTTGTCCTTTGATCATATTTGTAGGGGTTACCAACGAGCGTCCCATTGCCTCTGTATCCAACATACCACTTTTGGTGGTAGCCCAGGAAACGGTGGTGTTGGTAAATGCCTGGTTCAAAGTGCTGTGCCTGAATAGAGGGTCATGGAATACCCCATCCACCCAATTCCTTAGGGTGGTCACTGGGGAATCGTGTCTGTCCACCACACTGGTAGGCATGGAGATCAAAGGGGGAGAGGAGGAGACAGCCTGCTGCTGCCGTTTCAGCATGCAAGATGGATATTCAGTTTGGCTCAAGGAGGTAGCGGTTTGAGCGAGGGACCAGATCCGAGGCTTGTTGTCCAGCATCTGCTGGCTATGCTGCTGTTGGAAGCAAAGCTTGGTTTCACACCCTCTCTGTCCTCCTACCATTAGGTCTTGCTCGGAGTTAGTCATCACTCGTTTGAGACAGTCCTTGACCTTCTCCGAATCTCGATCTCCTGGTGTTGGCAGGGTTATCTTTAAAGAAACCTTCTTGCAATGGTCGGGCTGACATTCTGCAACCCTGAGCTGATTGTTGTCCAGTTGCTGAAATGGGCCCTTCAACTCACACTCATCGCTTTCTGTCTCGATCCCATCAAAGTCATCCAGGTCACTCAGCTGCAGCTCCTCCTTGTCCTCTTTACATCTGGCATCTGTCAAAATACAGTTTGAGAAATGAAAAGATAATTCAAGTAGCGCCTAGAAATGGCCTTTAATCCGCCTGTCACATAGTTGCATCGAGTAACAAAACAATATAAAATGATTTAAACTCTATAGTTCTGTTTTTCCATTGACTATATTTCATTATTTAATTCTTAATAACAAGGGTGTACAATGTTTCCTCGATTTTTTTTAGTGTTGACCTGTGGTTTTATGCGAGCCACCGCATTTAACTATGGAAGCACCGACCATCAGAAAACCTGCCACTAAGTGAATCATAACATTTTGTCCAGGGAGAAGGTAACAGTGCAAAGCAGACCAACCATCCTCATCTTTATCGTCGTCTTTGTCATTCCGATGTTCCTCCTCGTTATCGCGGTAGGATTTCTTGTCATCGGTGCATTTATTTCTGGGGGACCAGGTCATCTTGTTCTCCTTCTTGAGCCTTCTCCTGGCGTTGGCGAACCAGGTGGAGACCTGGGTCAGGGTCATCTTGGTGATGATGGCCAGCATGATCTTCTCCCCTTTGGTGGGGTAAGGGTTCTTCCTGTGCTCTTGCAGCCAAGCTTTCAGGGTGCTGGTCGTTTCTCGGGTTGCATTTTTGCGCCTGGTTCCTGGGTCCACAGCACCATATCTAAGATTATTTTTTTAAAAAAAGAAAAAGTTTATATTTAAGAAAAGGAATGAAGACACCATTTTAGTGCGAAATTATTATTGTCAATTATTTATACGCAACGTGGGTCTGTGAAATTGCACAGTATCATTAAGATCCCATAGATTTTATACTGAAATGTGTTATTATATATAAATAATTTAATACGAATGACCTAAACTAGGTAATATACCAAAAAATAGCAGGCCGATATAAACGATGGGTAGAAATTGGAACTCTTCTTAAATAATTTGCTGTAATATCTTAACTGATGTTGCGGATATTATTTGAGCCACAGTATTTTCCCTACTTTTATATTCTAAGCCACAAAGGGGACGTTTGTCCTCTTTACTTATAACGACCAATTTACGGAACATAAAGCACAAGTGATGTGTGCCTTTGTGTGTGACAGGTGAAAATCCTGTGAAGTCCACATTTACCTTCACTTCACTTGTATAATATTTTACCTCTGATGCCTGACCGAGGTGTGCACGCTTTTAAAATAAAATATTGATCCGACTGTGACAAAATATACGACTGAGTGAGCGCATGCTAAATTAAATGGAAGAATAAATGCTTAACCTATTGAAAAATTGCCAGGTGAACCCATGTTACAAAGATGACTGCAAATGGACAATGGGAGTTGGGGGAGAAAATATCTATAATGACCAGTCAGTCGCTCACATCTCCAGTTACATCTCAAGAGCATTCGCCTATACCTGTTGTTCGTGCTTTTGTTCACTATAATTATTCTTGCAATGCACTATTCAGGTACATATAATGCAGCAAACAATAATATCATTTCCTGCTCAAATACAATAGTGAAATGTGTTTTAATAAGACACTCAGCGCCATTTGAATAATTAATGCAACTTAGCCAAGAAAGGTCACACACACACAGTGGGCTTGAAGTGTTGTCGTAACTTAAGTGCTTTCTGGTAATATTGAAACTAATAAGTACTGTATATATATATATATGTACCAATACAACAGTATATATGCATACACTGTTTCAACAGAGGCCACATCATTTCAACAAACTGATAAATATAGTCACCTGCGTTCAACACACAGACACACACGAGAGCACAAACCAGTTTAACACTAACTGGGTGTTATGTTTGGGTCAGTTTTCTGTCTATTTGCATTGCTGACATGAAGAAAGAGTGCTAAGCGGGTGTCCGAAGTGGTCGACGGCTGCCTTTCACGTAACGGTTCAAATACACGAGTCGAAGGACTCTGGTGATGGTACATGTTCTTCGAAACCACCTTTCTTTGAGGCTCTCAGCGCGTATGCATTTGCCCACCTGTCATACTGATACTGTCCCAAGGTGGGATCGTATGGGTAATAGGCAGCTGCCTGGGCGATCCCCGCATGCGCAGATCCTGTCCCATCCTTGGTGTCAAAAGGACTCTGAAAGAGACATGTGGACAGTTCCCGACTTCATTACCAACACCTCGACTTCATCCCAAACTCTGTGGCTGATGGATGCCTTTGATCCGCAAAAGCAGCTTTTTTTGCAACTGTGTCACTGCGGCGGCGGTACTGCAACCCGATCAGTACCGACAACACGGTGCTCAGCTGACATTTAATGTGCAGGTCCAGCCGTCCTCCTCGTGTTATGTCAGTGCTTTTTGTTGTGTGCCCCAGTCCGGATCAGCCCGGGATTCGAGCCATTTAAACAGAGGTAAAAAGGGGTAAAAACGCGCGAGCCGCTTCCAGCTTGTGATGCCTTTCTTTCTTTCTTTCTTTCTTTTTTTTAATTCTAAATTGAGGATTTAGTTCATGCAATTCTTAAAAAAAAAAATGACAGTGTTATTTTGCGGTTTGACCATGGCTGCTCTGAAATGTTACATGACATTCCCCTGCTTGGGAATTGATCCACAGAGGAAACTTCAGTCATAGCCAGTTATAAAGGGACCTTTTCAGGCAGCTGTATCCATAATATAATTGATGTATGTTTCTCCAGCACAGAAACAGGCTTATGGGACCGCAGGTGCCGCTTGCCAAAATATATAATTAAATAGAATGAACTGACCGCAAATGCCTCCAAACTACGTATGTGTGTGTTTTTTTTTTATTTGTATTTACTGCCAATGACTGTTTCACGGGCTCATGTGCAGTAAAGCCAAATGCAAGTCTCCGACGGTGCACTGCAGGCCCTGCGAATCCGAACCTTTGCCAAGATTTCCAATGCGGTTTTGTTAAAAGAACTAGAAATAAAAATAACAAAAAGCCTCTCCCCCCCACCCACATTTTGCTTGAAGCGAGACGCGGAAAGAACATTTTTTTTTGGATAAAGTCATTTTTGCCCAGCAGTAAACAGCGCAAGTTGAGGCTTAGTTGAGGTCGGTTGTACTTTGAGATCAAGTTACGAACTGCAGGCAAGTGGGATATTGCACACCCTCCATCCACCCCCTGTTTTAATGCAGGGACTCCCCTCTCTGCACCGACAGCCACGCGAACTGAAACACTCGCTCTGAATTAAAATAGGAGATGATGATGGTGATGGTGATGATAAGCCAACGTCCGAAAGGCTATACACCCCGAGGAGAGTAAATAGTTAGAAAGTGAAATGGGGGGTTGGTTTCTCCCATCAAACTCAATCGGGGGTGTGGGGGGGTGGGGGGTGTGTGGGGGGTGTGTGTGGGGGGTGTGGGGGGGTGTGTGGGGGGGTGTGGGGGTGTGGGGGGTGTGGGGGGTGTGGGGTGGGGGCGTGTGGGGGGGGTGGGGGTGGGGGTGTGGGGGGTGTGGGGGGGGTGTGGGGGGTGTGAGGGGGTGGGGGTGGGGGTGTGGGGGGTGTGGGGTGGGGGTGTGGGGGTGGGGTGTGTGTGGGGGGGTGTGGGGGGGGTGTGGGGGGGGGTGGGGGTGGGGTGGGGGTGTGTGGGGGGGGTGGGGTGTGTGTGGGGGTGTGGGGTGTGTGTGGGGGATGGGGGTGTGTGTGGGGGGTGTGGGGGTGGGGGGTGTGGGGGTGTGGGGGGTGTGGGGAGGTGGGGGGGGTGTGGGGGGGGTGTGGGGTGTGGGGGTGTGGGGGGTGTGGGGGTGTGGGGGTGGGGGTGTGGGGGTGTGTGGGGGGGTGTGGGGGGTGTGGGGGGGGGTGGGGGGGGGTGGGGTGTGTGGGGGGTGGGGGTGTGTGGGGGTGTGTGTGGGGGATGGGGGTGTGGGGGGGGGTGGGGGTGGGGGGTGTGGGGGGTGTGGGGGGTGGGGGGTGTGGGGGGGTGGGGAGGTGGGGTGGGGGTGTGTGGGGGGTGTGGGGGTGTGGGGGTGTGTGGGGGGTGTGGGGGGGTGTGGGGGGTGTGGGGTGGGATAACAATAGGGAACAGATCAGAGGGCTACTTACCAGGGAATAGAAAGCGGAGGGGTCTGTCCCATAGGTGACATAGTTGCCATATCCCTGGCTGGTGGTGTAGGGGCTCCCGTACACCCCCAGCGCGGCTGCCGAGTTTAGCTCGTGTCTGGCCGTGGCCAACAGTCTGCTCTCATACACGGGACAATACACGGGGGTCTGAGCCGAAGCCGCTGCCCCGGAATCCGCCAGCGTCCTGCCGCTGGATTCACAGCACGCACTCAGCGGGTTGGTGGTCATCAGAAACTACAACAGCAAATAATTAAAAAATAATAATATATATATATGTCGCTGCTGTCGAATGTCTGCTCCGGGTTTTTGGACCCTTCAATCCCAACGCTTTCCTTTCTCCAGACAGCAACATGTCCCCTGCAGGACAGCGCGGCTCTCGTTATTTTTGTCCCCGCGCACTGTTACGGGGCAACTCAATTTAAACGACTGATACGTATCGATATCGTCCGAACTGAAGTGAATTAAAGATTATCGCTCGCCTGCCAGCGATTACATCCCGAAATGGTTACCAGCAATCAATTAGCCACACCACACTCCCCCACCACCCCCCACCACCCCCCACCACCCCCCACCACCCCTCCTCCTCCTCTCCCTCCCCCAGGACCCGATCAAAGCGATCGAAGGATCGATATGACTCACCTGAGGTGCAGATGTGTAGGGGTATCCAAACTGTGGGTACGACATTGTCCAGGGCTCCCCACATCCAGAAAGAAGAGAGAGATCTCCACGCCTGATCTCCACGCTATTGCAGTCTTGTTCTGTTTCACTGTACCAATTGATTGGCAAGCGCACTGGCTCCTAGATGCTTGATAGGGCGAAGCAGAACGGCACATTTAATTTATTTACATAAAACTAAACTTTTTTTTATATACGGCGGTCGTGTCCTTACGGCAGCTTTTTTTTATATCTCGAGTTATTTTTTTTTTGAAAAAAAACGAAGGCTGAAATCGCTGGAATGGTTTTAAATCGAAACTGTTTGGCAGGAGAAAGCACTCACCCAAAACACACACACACACACACACAGAGAAATACACACACACACGCACACACAGAAATATACACACACACAGAAATATATATACACACACACAGAAATGCAGTCGGATAAACTGTTTTGCAAGTGAACTTAGTTAATATCACTGGGTGTGACGTCAGATGAAGGCTGTTAAAGGAAAAACCATTCCTCCTTAACTTCAGAATACTTTCAAAGCAGGAAAATGAACATAGGAGTTGTCAAAACACTGTCAATCATCTATCAGTAGATTTTGATTCCCAATAGGTAAAATATCACAATTGAGCCAACTCGAGCCATTGACGTACCTTGTATATTGTAATGCAGATAATGTTAGGTTGGGTGACTCAGAGTGCGGTCCCTGTTATTGGGTTAATGGTTCTTCTCTGATCGCTTGGGATCGAGCCCGAATTTAATTAGAAATATATTAATGAACAGCTGCAACTTGTGCTCCACCCCATCGCAATAGACTAATAGAGGACAGGCACACAGCCTGGAAAGTCTACACACAGTCAAAGCAACAGTCAGCTCCACAATATTTCAATCCATTGATGCTCGCTACTTTTATTCATATAAACCCCCAGCCAGTCAATTAAACTGACAACCAGCTGTAAAGTGCAAATCGATTCTAGATATATACAGTATTTTGTAGCATATGCATAGAAGATAATAAGTCTACTTTTTATACGCAGTATTAAAGTCTGAAACTACAAGAGGTTGTCGATTCCACTAACAGAGTCACACAGAAAGGTGCAAAGTTTATCGGAAACAATAAACAGCGGGTGTGTTGGTAATTTGGTCTACACGCCACTGTGGTGTCAATGATTCCTGAAACATTGAACGCTGCCGCATCCTTTAACTGAAAACCAGAATAAAGGTTTTCTAGTGTATATGAATGGTGGGTCACAGAGGATTGTCGCTGCCACTGAATCAATGCAGGAACCTGAAGCATTGCATTTAATAACCTAGGGTTTGTGGGGTGAGGGTGAGTGTGCATACATTACCTGAAATAATGGAGCCAAAGTGCACTTGGTGCCGTTTTAGCACAGCACCTTCTCCACATTGTGAATGCACCTCTCTATCTGTGGATTTTATCTATCAGAATCTATCTATCTACATAGACAGATAGACAGACGGGCGGAGCTGCCTGACTTCCTGTAACAGATAAACACACTGAAGGTCCTCTCCACCTTAAATCATGTCTTGCTTTGGTGGTAGATTTCTGTACAAACCCATGGTGTGTAGACTTGCTCAAATGTTCATGGGTTCAGACATGTGAATAGCCGCGGGGTCACACTCTAATTAATGATGATGTTCTACGATTCTCCCCAGCTGGAAGACTGCCTCCAAGAAACGAATCTGCCTGCTTTGACAGCTCGATAGTGGGTGATTGATGACTATCCAGAGACCACAGTCTACATAATATAATATCTTCTGCATAATTGCTTCAATTTACAGATGAAAGTACGTGTTCCCAAATTGAGTTAGTCTTTGTAGAACAGTATTTTGACATATTAAAGGCTTTTTAAAAATAATGAAAATTACCTGCATTTAAAATATCCAGACGGATCAGCCAGTATATTACCAGACATGCAGTTGAGCACTTCTACCAATACAAATTGCATTCTTCCAATTTGGTTCTCAAAAAAATATGCAACTTACAGAAACGGTTATTAAAAAGTTGCTAATAATTTATTTCGCGAATGAACTGTGAAGTGGGTTTATTTTTATTCTTTCAGCAGTAAAATATAACGTGTGTGGGCCTTTTATTGAAGAAAAAGTTTGAGTGTTAAGTAATTCGAGAACAGTAGTTTCCTTATTCATGGTGCTATATTTCTACAGGTGCACAGTATCCTGCTATTTGCATCTGACTGTACCCCCACCTCCCCCACCCCACACACACACACCCTCCCTCCCTCCCTCCCCCACACACACACACACTCTGTGCTGGAATAGGTCACTTATTAACACGTTCACCTTCTCCTGTGCGTTCTCATGTCATTGCAATCACTTACCAGGGAATATGGGTCGCTCGCTTGCGAATTGCAAATTTAGTGAACTTCATTTAAGTGCTTGGCGCAATTATATCGCAATTTTAAGATATATAACTTTTATTCTTAATTGCACATCAATTTTCGAAGCCTATTCCATATTTTTTTCTCTGCTGTTAATATTGTATCCCAGAAGTTCAGATCGTCTTATGGCTTTATGTATGAATAGACTCCAGGGTGATATTGTTCCTGTTTTGTTTAACCCTGTGCAGTTCGGAATAAACTGAACTATAACTATCACATTTGCCATTCACAGGCCCGAGTCGGTTTGCTCGCGATTTAGAAAGAACAGCTTTGTCCTTTGGGGCTTTGAAAACAAGACAGAGTGGGCAGAGAGAGCATGTGAATGTAGTGCAATCGGGAAGCGTCTGTCTGTACATTACTCTCTTTAATAAAGGTAATAAAGGTAGTCCTGTTGTGTGTGTCAAGATATCAACCACTACAAAACTTCGAATAACCTAAGAAAACGCATTACCAATGCACGAGTGAGCACAGGAGATGGTGATAATGGGAACACGTAGGTAGGCGTTTGGAAGCGAAGGTCGCTCGCACATGTCAAGTTATTTTCCCAGTGCTGTAAACTGTTTCAGTGAGATGACGAGACTTGATGAAGAATAAAGATAAAGAAAGATATCAGTCACAACTGCAAGTTCACAATCTTTGTAAACGGTGAACAGGGTCCGACCGAGGCTTTTTCTCCTGTTGGATTCAATAAGTGCTGTTAAAGACACCAGTCATACAATCACACAGAGGTCCTGGTTTACTTGTATTTGCCTGCTAATAAGATTGTGTATTGAAATTACAAAACAAGATTAAACAATAGGGTACACACTTACTTTGCACCCTTTCAATAATTATATTGGCATTAAAATGGAAATGCTGCATCGACTGAACAGAACTGTAATACCAGTGTTTTATACTTGATTTTAAAAAAATACCAGCATGATGTAGACCGCTGGCTACCCTTTGCCACCACCTATAAAACCCTTCTGCCGTATCAGCAAAGGTTAGATGCATTTACAGCGTGAACTGTCACCCCCCCACCACTCCCATATCGTTTATTTTTAACTGACTGTGTTCTTGACGCCTGCACTGTATATTCTGGGCTCCCTTAATAAAAAGGGGGCTTCTTCCTCCTTCGCTCTTCCTCAATCCCTCTCCGCGTAAAGCTACGAGGAGCGAAGTGGCCCATGAAATATTTAGGCACATCAGTGTACATGCTGCAACCGAAAGCAGCACTCCCTGAAACGGAGTCAGGAAATGTTCACGTTAAAGATTTAAAACAAACGTGACACTGGCTGACAAATAACGGGAGAGCTACATGTTGTCCATTTAGAGCGGTGACATGAGCAAGTTGAACGCTAAAGCGAGCCATCAGCGCCCATTCCCCCAGTCTCAGGCTCCCTCCACCAGTTCAGGGGCATCAGATCGTCTTTGCACAATCCTAAACCGAAGGAGGGGAGCAAGGATGCATTTTGCCTACAAATAATAATAATAATATACAAAGAAACGTGTGCGTGTGTGTGTCTTTGTTAAAAAGTAGAGAACACCCACAAAAGAAGAAACTTCGCCACGTTAAACCTACCTTCGGAAGCAATCGCTCGAAGTTAATTATTCAAAGGTTTAAAGACCACAGCTATTTGAGATGTCGCCTTGCAACATTTTTAGGGTTGATTTAAACAGACACTGCAGGTTTCCAAACAGCATCTATCAAACGCGTTCACAATTCTGAGCGACATCAAGGTTACTTAAATGACTAGTTATAAATGAACACAATGCAGTTTGAGCTCCCAGTTTTAATTCACGCCACGTCAAGATGAAACTTATTCTTTCGAGACATGTCCGTAGAAGGAGTCCTGCCTGATGCTCCTCGTTGTGCATTGTGCATTTACCCTCTAAAGTCAAAGTTAAGATGCTGTTATTCTTAACTCAACTGTTCTTAAGCACATGATCTTTCTGAAACACAGAGATGGATTTGATGGATACTGACTCTAACCCAGAGTTTACCTGTGCAATTGACTGGTAAATGGACATCCTAAGTTGACAACGAATCGCCCGGATCGTCAATTCTTCATGTCCCGTTACATTAGGCCAAATTGAAAAATAAATGCACGATAAGATCTTGCATTTACGTGACTGCATTAAACGTCGAGTTCTAACTAACAGTGGATGCAAACAGTTTTCAAGCAAATTCCTTATCGGCAATTTGCTCACGATACAGATGGTCCTTTTAAATGTCAGTACTTCAGCGCACGGATACATAATTCCTATTGTCCACAGACTTTGCAAAGTTTACAAAGAGAACTCCCTTACAATAAAAACAACACTCGGCGCGACCAAAGGCGAATGCTTGTAAGCAGACACGAGAGAGAGAGAGAGAGAGAAAAAAAAAAGGGTGTTTTATGTGGTTACCTGTTCAGTGCTCGCACGTTTCCATTGGTATGCCCGCATCCATCAGGAAGTTGAGTTGAATTGTCGCTGCGTCCAAGTGCGGAGTCTGCAGATCTTATTGGTGATGTCTGCAGAGAGAGAGAGAGAGAGAGAGAGAGAGCTGATGCAGGCATTTCCCACTCGATCTGCTCCACGCACAGGTGGGGATATGTTTTCAGCCCCCGAGCTCCACAAACACTTCAGTAACACAGTGACGTACTGGATCTGCACAGCTCTGCGCTTCACTCTCCTCGAAGATGCAGTATTCCCCCCGGAGAAGTCTTCGCCATCAGTGTGATCGTGAAATGCTCTGCACCCCCTTTTAAGAAAGTTCAATCCTTTTTTTTTAAAAAAATATAAAAATAATCGACAGTATATATCTGAGTTTCTTGATGCAACTGAAACAAGTACCCAACGATTCAGCCATTCAATAAACGTAGCGTGGAAACGGGCAATATATAAGTATACATAAATCTATATCTTGGTCGAAGAATAAAGCGTGAGGAAAACTTTGGGTTGTCCAGATGTGCCAGACTCCCGTACACAGGGACCCCCAGTGAGCTTGCACTTGTTTAGCAGGAAAGCTGCGCCAATCTGGGTGTTCCTGGTGGGAACGCCGACACTTAGACGAGGCAAATCAATACACTACAGGCAAAGCTATCAATCCAAGCCTCACAGGGCGGGGGGGGCTGACCCTCACACCAATCCTGTCAATATCGTTTCCCATAACTGTCACAGCCATCAACAGCTTCATCATCATTACAGCACTTTCCTCCTTTTTTTTTGTTTTGTTTCTTGAGTACGTTTCTATAACAACACAACACACCAGGACGGAAAATAAGTTTTCACCCATCTTTGACGTTTTTTTTGGGGGGGAGGGGTATGGGGATAACCATGATTATAGTGCAGTGAATGGATTATTGTGATCGGTGGTCGTGTTTTTTTTAAACCATATTAGTTTCCACTCAATTAAAGTATTGTCTATTTCTGAATAATACTGCCGTTAATGCGAGAGAGGTAATGAAACGCTGTAAAGGATATTATAGACAGTTTAATGAAGAACCACACTTGAAACGTTGAACTGTTTCTTTTATCTCCCCCCCCCCCATGTGCACATTCACATTTACATAATTCTCAGTTTTTATTTTGATTACTACGGCCGTCCGTTACTACAAATCTCTACCACCGTATAACTAGAATATTTAATGGCCATAATAATACTACAGTACTACACTTGGCTGCTTTGCAATCAGTGTTGTCCCTATCACTTCTTAGGGCGTTGCATGTGCTCGGTATAGGCAGAGTAACGCGGTAAGAAGCAGTGTAAATATATGCAAGCAAGAGTCCTGATGTGCTGTCACTCAGGCACGGTCAGTGCTGCTTCAATCACATTTAAATTCCTATTAGCCTTCACGACCACCCCCCCTCTCTCTCCTGTATCACTCGTTACCGTTTGCAAACTCTGCAACTGCTGGCAATGGAGCCATGTCCATAGAGTTCAGGGTCACATAACTTGTATTAAACGGTTTCCCCCCCTCGCACCTTTTAAATCGCCTCCCATTAGAGATTCATGTGGCTGATTTTCATGCAGGCTTGGGGAAATCCTAGGTATTTTTTGTAAAACAAAGAAACCAGTCCCCTACAAACACTCACCTTTTTGACTCGTGCACTCACTGTAATAAATCTGCATGAAACTTTTTCCCCCATTTGCTTTTACTGGAAAAACATAAATGACCCTTCTTAGGTCTGATAATAAGCGTTGAGTGGAAATCAATTCTTAAAACGAAATACTTCTGAAAGCACTAAAAGCAAACAAATAATTCTTTCCACTGCGCACTGAGAACCACATTACAGTCAGGAGTTCAGCAAATATTGGAGGTTGCGTTTACATACCATGTAGATTTATTCCTACACCTCCAACGTTTGGCCCACAAAAATAGTTAATTCACTTTACAGTATATTCTGTGAAGCGCTTTGAGACGTTTCAACGTGTTATATCAAACGCAAGGATTATGTTACTATTATAAGCACCATTGGTCCCAGAAATATAAAGGATAGATAGGCCTAGATTACTGAAGATAAAATGCGAGCTAATGTTCAAGCTTTGTGCAACCGGTTTCCAGGAACAATTAAGTAAAATGCCAACATACCATCTAAGGTGTAACAGAGATGTTTTAGAAAAGCATCTCTCGACTTCCTCCGGAATTAACTTTTATTATATAGTACGGGAAGCAGTTTCTGAAGCTGTTCTGTTTGATGGAGTAGCACAATATGCAGATCGACAATAAAACAGCATATTTCATGAACGTTAGGGAAAAACGTAGTCCATCATAACATGCAGGTCTCAAACGACCACCTCCTCCTACAATAAACACACATACTATTTTGTGGATGACTTGTCAGTTGGAAATCAATTAGAGGCAATTAAAGTTGCATTGAATACTTTTGGGGCTAATGAGGGATATGAACTTTTAAGTTTAAAATAATAAATTAAGTTTTTTTTTGGTATGGCTTGTGGATCGTAAGTCATTCTGGCAAAAAAAAAACAACAGCAACATCTCGAAAGAAACCGAAAGGCAGAAACTATATCACTGCAGTTGGATAAAACAAAGGAGCAAAATGTTACAACGCTGCACTAATAATATAAATATGCCACTTCAAAAATATTTAGTGCAACAAATCATTTGGCCACACCAATTAAATCTGATCAGGCAGGAACTGGCGCTGTGTGAGTGTTACAGCTTTATATTCTGAGTGTGGCTGCAAAAAAAAATAACAGGTATAAATGGGTTTGAAAACAAACAAACAAACACACACAAAAGAGCCTTCGTTAGACTGTACACCAGTGCAGTGAAGGGATCAGAGAATCTCCCAGTGTTTAGTTTGACACATGTTTTTACAGATCCTCAAAGCCCCAGACTGGCACATAACCACCCCGCACACTGTCACATATGGTCACTTCCAGACACATATGGTAATTGTCAAAGCATTTACAGTCACTAAAGCTGCCCGGGAGAGAGCAGGGAGGGGATGGGGTGCCTTTCTCGCTGCTGACATCAACGTTGTGTAGGAAAGGTTTGGGCGGAAAGTCGGACTAACATGTCAGGTTCCATATCACTTCGGATCATCAGCCCCAGTTTGACATGTTTCAATTTTTTTTCCTGACCCTAATAGAGTGATCCCAATTGTAATTACAATCATACAGGACGAACCGACTGTCACATCCACACTGTGCAGCCAGCTCCCGGGTTCACTGACTCGGCAGCATTTGCATGATGCTTAGTTTAATTAGAAGTTCTGTCTGCTTCACACATGCCCCGTAAATCTTATGGAGGAGTTTCTACTATGGCTATGGGTAGTGGAGCAACATCTTGCCCAGGAAGAGCCCAGCATGATCCTCCCACAGGTCCAGTGCCTGATAATCAGTCACACACTGCATCCTCACAGCCTCACGCTCCTCCAGTCCACTCCTCCAGTCACTTGACACTCTTCTCCTTCAGGCTATTTGCTCACAGAACCGCAGTCTTCCCCACACCTCCTAGTCAGCTGACATCATCATCCCCCTCGGGGGCAATCCTCATAAATCAAATGGTCATTGAAAATAAATGAAACACAGTGTTAAATTAAAAATGCCCACCTTCAAACAGCCAGTTCCTGCAATGGTCGTTCAATCATGTCGGCCAGTTGTATGCAGCACCCTGAGATTATATGCACTCGACGATGCAATGCATTTGACTGAAGCGTTGCAATTTTTTAAAAAAAAAATCCACTGTCTGCAAAGGAAGCAAAATACACAATGACAAGTGGGGGGAAAAATAATAAGACGCAGAAACACATTTAGAACTCCGGAGGCGTATTTGTTTTGCACAGCTTGTGTTTGCAAAAATGACTAACTCCTCGCTTGTTAGCTCACCTGTTATGCAGTTGGATCACTTGTGTCACAGTCTCACTGGAGCCAACTCAGACTCCTCTCCTTGAATTCTCATCGTTACTGTTGGCCCAGTTAAGATGTAATGTTCATAGTAAAAAGGAAAAGCAGTCTTCCTTTTTTTTTGTAAAATAAAGAAATCAGAATTTATCATAATTTCAGGGACATTTAAAAGAAAGAGATATAAAACTGCGCAATTGGCTGCCGAGTTTCACCCACAAAACATACAGGTAATTCACTTTACAGTATATTCTTTGAAGCACTTTGAGGTGTCTCAATGACATGATAAGGCACTAAATTAAATGCACAGATTATTATTATTAAATCAATTGTACTTAAACTTGCATTTGAATAACTATAATATATCAAAGATTTACATTCCCTCCCACACTGCTTCTTGGTTCATTGCAATGCATAACCCCATTCCCATGCCTCCAGCCTGATACATGTCTTAATTGAAAGAGTGAACAGGCAAAAGTTGGCACAGTTGCTGCAGAAATATCACTCAAAACATGATTTTTAAAAAATCTGATTCAAAAAGATATGAAATTAACAACATCTTTCGGAAGTGATGAGTAAATATCTCCTTCCTTCATCTTGGCTCCCAGTCATTTGAGATATAAATATCCCACAAGAAGGTATGCTCAGTTGAGTTAGAGATCTAAGCTTCACTGATGCAGTAATTACTAAAGTCCATCAGGAAGCATTTACAAAGCTATCAGTGTTCAGATTGTTATTCCAACAGGCTTTGTAAGAAGGTATTGGGGGAGGAGCAGATGGAAGATACATCTGAGTCTGCAAATACTGGGTTGTCCAGTCAGTTTAAATGCAGCAGTGACATTCGTGACAGAAGTACTGTGTGAGGGAGATTAATTTATTTAAACGTAGTGCTGTTCTTCCTCTTGAAAAGCATTTGATTTTAAAGGATATGAATTTAAGGGTCACCTTCCTTTCAACTTGCTCGGATTAAACCAAATTGGACGTAAAGCTATTTCCTCATGTCCTAAGTACGTTGCAATGCACAAGGAACTGTCCGAGGAAAACAGGAGTGTTAGCATGTAAAGAAAGAACTTGCATTTTTATGA